AAACTTATATCCAACTTAGACTTATAAAGTACTTGTTTTAGCACCAAAATAATTTTTCTTAGATTAACTTCTCCACCTTCTGTGCAATTTTCTGTGCGTCTTGATTATTTTCATTTTTTCGAGTTGATGTGTTTTGGTTTTCACTGATTCAATTGCATTGTTGTACCACTGCAGGCAGAAAATCGATTCATTTCTGATCGGCCAGAATTTTTAATTTCCTAATGAGACATTCCAGTTGTGTTGTTTCTCGCGCGGGGTTACAAAACTGGATCCAATTCTGGATAGATGTATCGATTACTCGCTGCGTTGCGTAGTCGTTCGGCCGTGCCCGCGATGCGGTCGCGTCGTGCGTGGACTTATTGCCCAAAATCGGCGAATTCCAGGCATCGGTGCCCTTTCGCTCTCCGGCGCCCGCCTCAACCCGACTGTGTCCAACCGGCGCACACTGTGGTATTTGACCGAAAAACCTGGCCAAAACCTCAATTTTAAATTTTTTTTATTGAAAAACCAATGTGATATTCGAAATCTACACTGTTTTTTACCCTGGTAGACATGCATGTGCCATTTTTCGAGTGGCTCAATTTCCCGCGAAGAGACCACGAAGTCACCTAATTCTCAGCGATTGTTTTGATATGTTTTGGCGCGCTACTCGTCGATCAGTTTACTTCAACTGTGCGGCCATAAAAGGGACCTTCGGCGATATGCAGCACATTCTTAGGGGTATATTCTACACAACTAACCACAGTATTTTCGAAATTTCCTTTTTTAGTGATTTTCACAGGAGGTTGAAAAGTGATATAAACGTGTGCGTTTTTTTCGAAATTCAGAGTCCGATTTCTTTTTACGCTCAACTGCGCTCAAGCGGTTTAGGGCGGAATGTTATAGTCCAAAGTGGGTACTTTCAGGATTCAGGGTTGACAGGCTGAGGAAAACTGAGGAAATTGAAATTTTTGACCTTAAAGATGGACTTTTGAGCGATTTTCATAAACACATGGGAAAAATTATGTCGATACTAACGACTGAAATTGTATTTTTCCAACAGCTCTGACCCATTTAGTACCAAATTGGGTGATATTTGGTCACGCAACCTGTTTCTCTAGCCTCTACGCCCTCGAAAGAGGGATAAAAAAAATAATTTGAAAGCGGATGGGAGGGTCACTTTAAAGTTTTGCAAAAGTGTTTAATCCGTTATCTAACAATCTCTTCGTGCATTATCCTTGAGTATAGACACATTTATGCCACGTTTTACTTCTACAGACAAATTTGAGTCCATCCGGCCGCGGGGTGGGGCTTTAAAAGTGACCCTCTGGCACCATGAAATTACGCCGAGAGGCACATTATTTTGCAGCCTCTTAAAAGTGAGATATGTGGTTTTGTTATGAATTTCGCAGTGAAGTGCCCTCACTTTGAGATGTGGGCCATGGGTTAGGAAGGAACCCATCAAAATGAATCATTTTCACAGGTGCTTTCTGCCCTTACAATGGTTCTTATCATGATAAAACTCATTTTCATCTTATAATTTAACCTTAAATCATCATATGGAGGTCCCGGCACTTTCATACTAACACTAATTTTGATTCAAAACTGTCAAAAATCTAATATCTAGAATGATTCATATTAATTTTTTTGAGAAATGTACAATTACTCCTCAATGTGAGAGATCGGCTGTTTCGTCAAAAATTTTGAAGTGACTTACGCTGTTTTTAAAAAAAACCATAAATGAGGTAATAGAAAGTCCTTATTTTGAAAAGTAGACCATAGGTAAAGAAGGAACTCGTCTAAATGCACCGCTTTTGTCAGATACTTTGAATCCTTTTAAAGGATTTTTGGACGGCTTCTTGCACCCTCTTTAAACCCTCCGCAGATTGTCATATGATGTGTTAGGTGGTTAAATTGTGCATATTATCACTTAAGAAGAAGTACTGATCGTAAAATATTTTTAAAACTCGGCGATATCTGGTGATAAATAGTTTTGGCCAGCTTTTCAGGTCCAATACCACAGTGTGCGGCGTGGCGCGGCGCGCTCCTCAGTGGCCGTGGTAATTCGCTGCGAAGACTTGACGTTGCCACGCTGTGCAGAAAATGGGTCTGCGTCTTGCGCACAAGAGCTTCAGCCGAACGAGAGGACTCTCTTTCGGAAGTTAAATTTCACGAAAATTACGGCACACCAATCAACAATGTTTCATTCCCTGGTAGCAACGGCCTTTAAAAAAAAAAAAAAAAAAAAAAAAAAAAAAAACCTTAGAAAAGAACACTTTAAATTTCAAGACGACAACTCTAAAAAACCCGTTAAAATGCTCGTTTTAAGAGACTCTTCGTTGGTATTTTTTTTTTTAAAGTAAATTTTACCAGCGGTGAAATTCAGGTAGGGAGGTGTGTTTAAAAAAAAAAACACTTAAAACATCAACTGTAGTTTTCCAACACTAAAAATATTTTCAATAAAATGTTTGAAAACTACGACTGTAGTTTTTCAACACTAAAAATATTTTTAAAACATTTTTAATAACTACATTGATGTTTTAATGGTTTTTTTGACACTTTTGCCCTTACATTTTACTTAAATTTTACCTCTCGTGAATTTTACTTGAAAAAATTAAACCCGTTTTGTCTCCTCCCAGCCGGCGGGGAACTAATCAAGCATATGAACTGGCATTTTCACGAACATCCGCACAACCGTTTTTATGTGAAACATTATTTTGCCTATGACGACGGCTGATGTGACTTGGTTCACGGAAAAATAGTTAGGTAGCATTTACTATACTCTGGTTAAAAAACGGCACAACCGGACAGTATGGTAACTTTCACCAAAATCACTGTCGCAATAAGGGAAAATCTTGTTACTTTCACGATAATTTTGATGAAATTCATAGAGAAAAAAAAGGAGGTGTTTGCATTTCGGGCATCTTGGAATTTTTTTGATTACGTAGGTCGGTACACCGACGTTTATCATCGATTTTCTTGGAAATGGTTATATAATTTATGGAAAAAAGTCATTCTATAAAAAGTGCTTGAAATTATATCATGAGTTGATTTAAGCAAAGAAAATGGGACACTATGGTCCGTTTTTCATACTTCGAATTCCGGAATTCGCTGGCCAGATTGCACCGACCTACGTCACAGGATATGAACAAACCTCAAGATGCAAACACCGCCTTTTTTTTCTCTATGGATGTATGAAAGTTACCATACTCTCTGGTTGTGCTGCTTATTAACCAGAATATGGTAAATGCTACCTATTTTTTTCCGCGCCATTTTAAAGAGGATTGAGCATTTTTCGGCGGAATTCTGGCAACGGCTGGCTGTAGATACGTTGTTTCTCCCTAAGACGGCAGCATTGGCGGGCGGTCGGGCCGAGGTCAAGTTGAAGCACGACTCGCGACAAAAGACGCGCGTTTGCCGAACGCGAACGCGGCGGCCGGCCGACCGGCGGCGGTGGTCGGTGGTCACTCCACCATTTGAACCTCCACCACCACCTCAGGACCCCGCGCGGCAGCCCCGCAACGCACGTCCCATTCTCTCGCGCGAGTATCATCCAGTTCCTCCGAGGGCACCGACACCAATCAACCAAATACACCCGAAATCGCGCGCGCGGTTCCGACCGATTCGCGCGAGTGCCGGCCGCGAAAACTGCGACTGCACTCTCGCCAGTGATCGATCCACCCAATTCGCGCGAGTGCCAGCACGAGAATAGAGCGAATGCAAGAAGAACACGCGAGTGCAGGGAGACCTCCGTTGCGAGTTGATCCACACATCTCGCGCGAGTGACAGTTGTGCAGCAATCGAGTGAGTGCAACGAGAAGACACCCGATCTGAATCGTGATATTATTATAAAATTATTTGGATAAACAAATGGGAAAATAATCCACATTGTTATAGTACAAACAATATTTAACATTGGTGCTACTAAAAATTTGAATCGTAATTTGTGTTCATCTATTTTGATATAACTCTCTTTTACTTTATATTCGCAGTTGATACACACAATTCGCGCGAGTGCGGATGAATAACATCCAGTGCGTGCAACAAAAACACGTGAGTGCAAAAATCGGGGATAAACTAGTATTAACACGATTGATCAAAACAATTCGCGCAAGTGCCAGTCACAAAAAAAAAACCAGCGGGTGCGACAAATAACACAGAAGTAGAGAACGCATTTTCATCAGTATTTATCCACACAATTCATGCCACTGCGAAAAAAATGCTTGATTGCCGTTCGGGACGATCGGCAAATGCAATAAAAACACGCGGACTGTATACTGTTAACGATTATCCTCGCGTAGTGCAAGAATCGCTTATCGGCCCGCTGAGTGAATGGTCCGGGTGATTAAAATTGGGTTGATGGGTTCGTCCTTAAAAAGTGCATCAAGAATACCGCACCGTCTACTTGAGTGTGTTTGCTGTCGACGGAATTGATTTATCGCATCTGTGTGCGCTTCGCATTAACTAGTCGGGGCTAAGTTTTTAAATCCGATAGTGACAGTGTAACAATTTGTGTTTCGCGCGAATGCTCGGTTGACAGTGCCTCGAGGCTGACTCCTGAAAAGTTGGTCGTGTTACTTGTAAAATCAAGCATTTTCGTCAAGAAAATTTCGGTCAATTTACTTCTAGACGTGAATTATTTATAAAAATAAACAAAAATTACTCCTCATCCGAGAGATAAATTTTTACTGGTCGAAAATGATAAAATTACACAGGTACTCTCGCTTTTTTCAAGTTGTCCACGACTGCACAGCTTCATAAACTCGCAACTTTTCTTTTTGAACATGCTTTTGCAATACTTGAGCATAGGTATTTAATTTTCAAAATATGCTTTATTAAAATCTTTGAATTTAATTTTTTCAACATTTCAATGATTGGAGAGTTACGTCCGCCCTTATTTAATTCTTCCTATGATGATACTCATTTTTAAAAGTTCTTTTGAATTTGCGGTTTTCTTTTAAACAAATTATTTACGATGAGATCTTTTGGCATTATTGAATCATTGCGATGCCGATGAAAGAACAAGATAACGAAGACATGCTCATAAAAGTAGTGTCTCTCTTGCGAGTGTTAAAATTGCATAACTGAAAAACAAACATTAACAAGTAAACATGTTGACTCCATTAAATCATTAATTTGTGTGACATGCTTAATTGGTATCGGAAAATGGTGCTGTCTGTCACACAAGGTGCTGATGTGAATTCACGCACTATGTAAAGCCTACAATCTTTAATTAATGGCCTAACCTTCATGTCACAGTTGTTATACGGCGTGATCTATTTAAAAAAAAGCAACAGTTTATTTCAGATTAAAAATTAATAAACCAGCGCAAAAAGGAAATAGTCATGGAAAGGGGATAGCAGTGCTTTTTTTAGACTAAAATTTAAAAAAAATCCTGTTACAACAATGACGCATCAAACCTGATTACCAGATGTATGCAAAATTCTAAAGCGGGAGCTGATGCAAATTTCGTTTTTTACGCTTTCGCTTAATGTTTCAAATGGTAATGTTCTGGGGGACTTCTTTTAATTAAACACTTCCGAGTAAAATTCGCTTGCGGCAACGTAACCATTCTTCGATGTGCCACACGCGTGCGTCTATCACCTCAAACTCAGCAACTTCTAATCTAAGTCTGAAACCAAACGTTGAAATAAAAACCTGAGGGTAAATAATAACACATCGAACCGAGAGCTCTACTGCTCAAGACAATGTAACCAATCGGAAACTTAAATGCTCCAAGAAATACACTCAGCAAAGTCATCCCTCAAACACATCCAATTATTCAACAGTTGACGCTATTAAAATAAACCTTAAAACATGTCCGAACACACTCTAAAGACTCGAAAAAGACTGTCGAATCTGATTTTTTTATCTCAATGCCTACTGATTTCTGTCTTGGTGGCGGGCCAAGCGCGACCAGCCAGTGCGGAGGCCTACACGATTTTCCAAGCGGTGCTCCAATACTACAGGAACTGTCTGAATCTCCCACCAGGAGTCGTGAGGGAGCCAGCCAAGATCTACCCGGAATACGACTTCATAGTAGTCGGCGCCGGTTCGGGAGGCTCCGTCGTCGTGAACCGGTTGACGGAAGAACCCGATTGGAACGTCCTTCTCCTGGAGGCCGGCAAAGAAGAAATCCTCCTGACAGACGTCCCACTACTGGTCAGCTACATCATACACACGGATTTCAACTGGGGCTACAAGACGGAGAGGTCTGACCGGGTGTTCCTGGGCATGGAGGACCAGCAAATCAAATGGCCCAGAGGCAAGGTAATGGGCGGATCATCGGTGCTCAACTACATGGTGTATTCCAGAGGGTGCAAGGCCGACTTCGACGAGTGGGCGTCCCTCGGGAACTACGGCTGGAGCTACGAGGAAGTCCTGCCGTACTTCAAGAAGTCCGAGGACATGGACGACCCCGACCTGGCCGGATCGCCGTGGCACGGGACGGGCGGCTACCTGCGGGTGAGCCGACCCAACTGGCACTCCCCGGCGAGTCACGCCTTCCTGGAGGCCGGCCGCGAGGTCGGCTACGACATCGTCGACCAGAGCCAGCCGGTCCCCATCGGGTTCTCGTACGTCATGTCGACCACGAAAGACGGCGCCAGGCTCAGCGCCGCCAAGGCGTTCTTGCGCCCGATCAGGAAGCGCCAAAACATGCACGTGCTCAAGGAGGCGCGCGTGACAAGGGTAGTAATCGATCCCGTCACCAAAAGCACTGTCGGCGTGGAGTTCATACGCAACCGGCGGAGGGTCATGGTGCGAGCCCGGAAGGAGGTCATCTTAGCCGCGGGGACTCTCAACAGCCCTCAGATATTGATGCTCTCCGGTATCGGGCCGCGAGAACACCTCGACGAGTTGGGCATCGACGTGATAGAGGACTTGCCGGTGGGCTACAATCTCCAGGACCACGTTTCGGCCAACGGATTGGTCTTCCTGGTCAACTCCTCGGTGTCCGTGATCGAGTCGCGCTTCACGCAGCCGCGCTACCTCGCCGAGTACCTGCTCCAGGGCAAGGGCCCACTCACCCTGCCCGGCGGCACGGAGGGGATCGCGTTCACGTTGACGAAATACAGCAACGACACCTCGCGGCCGGATATGGAGATCGTGTTCAGCCCCGGGGCAGTCACGGGTGACACCGGTGGGAGTCTGCGAAAAGTGCTCAGCTTCTCTGAGGAGCTCTACGACCGCGTCTACAGGCCTTACGAAGGCATGGATGCTGTGAGTTTGGTGCCCATCCTCCTGCGGCCGTACAGTAAGGGCTACGTGAGGCTCAGGTCCAAGAACCCACTGCATTGGCCTAAATTCTACCCCAACTACTACAGCGACGAACGGGACGTTTGGAGGATCGTTGAGGGAATCAAACAGGTAAGCACTCACCGCCACACAAACGTTTTTTTCTCATAAATTTATGTGACTGTCCATTCTGCTATGCTAAGGAAAAACGCCGTATGAGCCCTCGGGCGTTTCCAAATTTCCTTCATGACAAATCACTAATTTTCAAGAAAAGTTGTGAATATATTTCTTCCAATTTCTCAGGTAGTGTTGCTTGCAATTTGATCTTATAAGTCTGCAATTTCAAGGAAAAATATGGATAATTTTCCTCAAAAATTGACATTTATCGGAGGGAATTTGACGACTCTCGAATGTTCATACGGCGTTCTTCCTTAGCAAGGCAGCATTGCCCTTCAGTCATCGGACACCAACGCAAACAGCTCCTTAGACTCCCGGAGATGATAGTCAAAAAGTATTACGACATATGAGAGAATCGCTCAAAAAAGAGAATTCTAAAATTCTAAAATTCGTTCTCTGCAAAAATTTTGATTCAGACTGATAAAATCAAATTTCAGTCATTATAGTTGGGGACACACTATAAATGGAAGGAATTTTTCCAAACGAAACTATGTACATTAAGATATGAGCCCTGAGACCCTTTAGAATATGTGTGAATCGGGTGCCTCGAGGGCTGAGCGAGACGTAGCTGGTCTGCCCTCCCTGCCCTCCAGTTCTCGGCTCCAGAACCTCCTCATTTGAAAACAAAATCTAGAGCCTTGAAATGTAGAGGGAGTCACTGCCGAAGAACCCCAGAACTTGTTGACTTGGACACAGAGGGCCTGAACCCGGCGTGGCGCACGTCTCTCATCGTCACATTCGGGGCTGAAACCCCTGGCAGGAAGCCCGGGTAACTGAAACTTCCGTAATCTCTATTTCACTTTGTGCGATCTCTCGAGCATGTCAAACGCGCTTACACCCTCGGACGTTCAACAGTGCTCCAAGCACTGAAACTCTCATAGCGAGCCCGCCTCGTTGCGTTCCTGTTCGATAATTCCCGCTTAAATAACCTAAGTACCAAACCACGCATCTCGGTCAGCGACTTCGCAACTCAAACCACAAAAAACACACACAAAAAACAAACACACAAAAAACAAACAAACAAAAAACAAACACACAAAACAAACACACAAAACACAAATCACACAAAATGCCACACAAAACATCAAAGCACAAATCACACAAAATGCCACACAAAACATCAAAACACAAATCACACAAAATGCCACACAAAATCACACAACAGGGTCATCGGGGTTCCACATCAAATCTGCCCAAAGAATCCCTGATTATATTTATTTTTGCACAAAATTTTACACGATTTTTACACGGTTTTTTCTCGTTCTTTCAACAGTAAGCTTCGAAAGTTTCGTGTGAAAGAGCTAAAAAGTGTATCATAGAAAAAATGAGGTAAGAACTGAAACTTTCAATCGCCGCAATCGGAATCTGTTTTTCACGATGGCGAGACGTGAATGGTCGATTATCGATATTTCCCCTATTGCAAAGAATCGATTATGAGGGTGTTCATTGCAAACACCCTGTTTATCGATCCTTTTCCATAGGTTTTAATGGCATAACAATCGACGTATCGCGTAATACGCCGCGCCACTGTTACCCCTAGGTTCCGAGAGGGACGCGGCAGTCATGTCTGGTTTTTCACGGCGCTCGTTTAAAGCGTCGCGACGCCCGAGGCGGCAGCGCCGGTCACACGTGACACCGGGAGCTTAAGAGCTTATGATGAACTGCACTAAACTTTTGAGGAAGCGCGGAATGAGAGCCGATAAACACAGGAGCACCGGGAGCGGAAGGAATCGACAAGTTTATTAGATTCAATTTTAATGATAGTCCCGCGTAAGAGCAACTTTGATGTCGATCTCACGGGCTGCGTACCTGGACCGGGGGGGGGGAGGGAGGCACCGGTGGCTCTCGTCTCGGATTTTCCGTCTCGCTCCCCGGGATCCTCATCGTCCAGGACCGAACGACGTGAACTCCATCAGGGTCTCGTAACACTTGTGCTTTTATTTAGAGCTGGATTTTCGATTCATGTTTATCGCTTCACTTTGTGACGTGAAGAAGGCGTCTCGGGTTTCGAAGGGCTCTTAAAAATGTGGAACGGCGCTCCCCGGAGCCCCAAGCCCCACGCCCCCGCCCCCGCCCCTGACCCCTGCATCTGCAATTGCAATTGCTAATAAGTGCGCCGTGGTGCGCGCTTGACGGGTTACGCCGCGAGTTACGGTGCACCCCACTGAGACCGGGAGATCCCCCCCCCCCTTTGCGACTCTTACCCTTCGTTTTCGCAGGTATTCTCTCGCATAAAATCACGCTGTGGACCTGCGGGCTGATTTTTGAAATTGATAGATAAAGATATAGACAAAGAAGACAACAGGGATACGGAGGGATCCTATTGGTGGAAGCGGGTGGTTGCAATGGACGAAAGAGGTGGGAAATAGACTAACTAATGGCAACTCACGATAGACCTCATAGTTGACTAACTCCATCTAGTCCATCATTTACCCCCTCAGTCTATAAAAACCACCCATTTCAACCAATGAGGTCGCTCCATGCTCCCTATGTCTTCTTTATCTATAGCTTTGTACAGCAATTTCAACAATCAGCCCGCTGCATTGCTCGAAAACCTCATTTTTTTGGTCGGAGGGATGATAGTCTTTGGAATTGAGCTCTTGCATGCCACATCAGGATTTGCGGTTTACCATGGGCGGATCCAGACACTTCAAACATGGGGCGGAAGGGGATTTCAGGAGGCTCCCCGCCCCGAAAATTTTCGAAATTTAAAAGCATCCATTATGCAGTTTGAGTCATGAATAATTACCAAACGAAGTCCTTACTTCTTTCCTCCCCTCCTTCTTCCTCTCATTCTTCCTTCTCTTTTTCGGGCAAACCGGGGTGGATGGCGAGGATGAGCCTCCTACGCCCCGTGGATCCGCCTATGCGATTTATGTACTTTTCTTGTATTGTAGAGCTCGAGAAACACAACTGGTTTGCCCTTAAACAAAATCCGAAGCTTAAAAAAAAGCTCTTCAAGCTGAGGCCGTGATTGCGAGGATCGCTTAAGTTACAGTGAGAACCTACTTCTTTATCCAGTTAAACTATCCATGGAGGAACAGGAGCATGGGGTTGGTAGGGAGCTAAAATATAAGGAGGGTGGCGCGTTTTGTCCACGGACTTCAAGGTTTGGACTGTCACCAGATCGTAAGCAATCCCCTCCGTTACGGCCTCTACCGTGGACCTTGGAAGCTTTCCTGCGCTTGGGTTTTGGTTTCAGAGAAAACCAGTGGCACCATCGTGGCTCTTACTAATTTCACGGGAGGAAAAACTATTAAAATCGCAAATCCTTGCAGCATGCTGCATAGGTACAAGAAATGCAGTTTGGTTGTAACTTTTTGCCGGTCGTTACATCGGCCAATTTTCAAGAGCGATGGCGAAAGTTATAAAAAGAACGCAAAATTTTCTTTGGAAAGACAAAACTTCCGAAAAACACAAACGAATTCCCTAAAATGGATGTAACATCATCATAATTTCCTCAACTTAACTATGCACCGAGAAGTGTAAAAAAGGGGCGGAAGGGGTGCAGATAGCAGGAGGCACTTATGAATGTTTTTTGCTAAACACTCCGATTCAACTCCTCTGCAATGACAGGAGAAATTTCTCTCCTAAAGAAGCCTTCGGGAACTGAATATCCTTCTGCAAATACATGTAGACCGGCACAAATGTACTGCACCCATTAAGTGAACTGATGGATATTTCAAGGAAACGATTCGAGTACATAAATCTTATTTAGAATTCCTAGAACACAGACTTTTGCATGCATCAGCGGAATGTTGTCTACGTAAGGGCGCTTTCGTACTGCACTGCAAAGCCGATTTTGAGGAGAGTCGATTTAATGCGCGGTCGAACTTTCCTTACTTTAACAGTTTATAATTGGTGTTGGAACGCGGGAACTTTCGAGCACTTTAAGCCAAGTTTTGGCGAGCCGGGGTTTTGCAGACTGAGAACTACACAGGATTATAACCTAAAATACACACTGTGAGCACAGATTTCGAAACAAGTGTTGCTTAGATGATTAACGGCTAATTACAGCGCCTTGCTAGCACCTAAAGTTGTAACACAGTCACGGAGAAGGAACTGAGGTTCAAATTAAATTTTTAAAAACGGGTTAATTTTGCATTATCTTAAAAAATAGAAGAGGAAAAACATCCCATGCATTCTAAAAAATTCTCTTTGAGAGGACCTCAAAGTTTTGGAGCGGAAAATCACCGCAGAGTATTTGTGCTACTACGGGAGGTGTAGTACAAACTAATTCAGAGATTTCGTTGATTTCGGTGCAAAGAAAACTTGAAATTCGAAGGAACAATGAAAAACCAAAAGAGGACAATCAACTGACGGCTCGTGTTACATTGATTTCCAATTTTTTATTTTAAATCATTAATATCCGTGTTATTTTTCTTCCGACACCTGAAAAAACGCCTATGCCAGATTAAGACGGACTCTGTCCTTATGAGATATCTGAATTTTAAGATTAGCGAAACATTCTTCGCTAGACACCACACCAGATTGAGTTCAGATATGTCAAAGATTCGCGGCAGCTCTCAAACACAGACCACCAAAAAAGTCTAAAAATACAGTGTGATTTCAGGAGAATAGAGTCCAAATTTTGGATCGATATTACCGAAAAGTTTTGATTTGTTTTTTCCTCCACTCATTAATCACCCGCCCCCGACTTTGGCTGAATTGTCGACTCAATGAAAAAAAAAGGGGGGCTGAGTAATTCTCGGGGTGCATGTTTATTGATGGTGAGTGCCCCCCTCTCCCAGTCGTACGTCTGCGAAATTTGGATGAGTGTGTAAAACATGAACGTCCAGACAACCTCATCTCTCCAAAGGCGATCGAAAATAAATTCTATCCCGACATCTTTGAAAGTCAATGTTAATTTTAAAAAATTTGCTAATTTCAAGGTTTGCTGTTTAAAAAAAATCAACTTTTCACCGTTTGGAAAAACTGCAACCTTTCACCAGAGA